CTGTGAAAGACCAGGGAGCTTTCCTAGTTCCAGAAGAGCTGAGTTTTTCTCCTCCCAGAATCCCAGGGGGTCCCAAAGCCTGACCCGGAGAATGTTCACCTACTTCCAATCATGGCCAGGCTGTTCCTTAATGGCCCCAAGGAAGCTGGACCCAGAGTTGGTCCTTTGGTTTACTTCTGGCCAATGCAGATTGGGGGATTTGGGGGGGGGGGCTGCTTTTCCTGGCCTAATTGTTCTCTTGCTGTCATTTCCTGAGTGCTTGCTGGGAGAGATGGGGAGGCCCCAAGGAGCGCCTGCCCCTGGTCTAGAAGCTGCTAGGACATCCCGGAGGGTCAAATCCAGACAGATATTCTTTCAATAAAGTAGGATCCTAATCCAACTGTGCTGGAGACGTTTCCTTCTCCATCTTCCTTGTTGACAATGCTGTAGTGCCAGGGGTGACACATTCAGCTCATGTTCATTGACTAAAACAGGCCAGATACAACCTGGCCGCACTAAACTCTTGCACACTTTCTTACAGATGTATGTCTCAGATTATATGTTGCCTTTCCTCTGGGAGCTGAAGAGGGACAGTGAATCCACTGAGAGTGGACAGCTACGTGACACTTAATGAATAAGAATATAACAATAATGAAGTGGCACATACAGCACTCTTGTCATTTTTCCTCACAACAGCCCTGCCAGGTAGGTTGGGCTGAGAGACAGCATGGTCCAAAGCGTTCTCAGAGGTGCTCTTGGTTAAAAGTGGATTTGAACTCAAGTCTCTCCTATATCTGGGTTGGTGGTTTTGTGAAATGGGAAACCAAGCAAGAGGACTGAGTGGCATTTCTGCCTGGCGTGGAGAGAAAGCACAGAAAGCCAGCCTCATAGTCCACTTTGATACTTTTATTTTCCTTATTATTAAAGTTTTAAGCTATCCAAATTGCTACAGTGTTAACAATTTTGAGTCTAAATTGTATAAATAACACTGCACCAAGCTAATACCTATATTCTGTACTCTATTATTTGCATCTTATGATACAATAAATAACTAGGAATGGAAAAAAAAGGAATGCCAGCTTCCACCCACCCTTGCCAACCCTAAGAGGCCCACAACACTTCCATGCTCGGAGCATTTTTCCAAAATCAGAGATTTTTTTTAAAAAAATTCAAAAGCCTCACTCTGTCACCAACACACACAAAATCCATCCCATCACACACCAAATAGGTGTTGGGGCAGCTCAGGGCTTCCTTAGACCAAAAACACGTATATCAGTCTCTCCCTGTAGTTCACCCCCAGAATGACACCTGCTCCTCGGCCAAGCTCAGGAGTGAACTTTGGAGCTGCAGAAGCCCCCCCCCCATGGGAGTTTTCTCTCCTGTGAGAAGCAAAATCAGAGCAAGAAAGAGCCCCCCCTATTCTTGCCCCCATCTTCTAGAGCTATTCTCTCTCCTCCCTGGGAAGGGGCCAAAGCCACTGTGTCTCATCTACAGACACAGCTGTGGCTGTCCTGCAAGCGTTCAGGTTCTCCGAATGACGCCCTTCCAGTATTCGTGAAATTAGAAATCGAATTTCCTTTGGAAAAATCCCACTCCAAGGGGGACACTGCCCTGCAGGCTACCCTCCTCCTCCTCCAACGGAACAGCCATCATTATGACTCAGCAGAATAAAGGCAAGGTAAGGACCGCCCGGCCACCTCTCTCGTTTCAAAAGCAGCTGCAAGCAGAGACTTCCCACCGCTTGCATGTGTGTTTGTTGCATTTTGGCATCAACTAATTTCTAAAGCTGAACATAACCATGGAAACAGAGATGTGGCTTTTTCTCAGACACAGGGAGCACCAGTAGCTCCTATCAGGGAAAGGACGTATTGTGCAATACCACCCCTTCATTCAGGGCGATGTGACAAGGGAAAGTCAAGACAGGAAATGAAGCCGTGGAGTCTAAAGAGGGAGGCTGAGAAGACAGGCGGGCACTGACTGGGGAACAGTGAGAAGGCGGCCCGGATAGCAAGGAGGCAGCAAAATTAGCCACAGAGGAGTTTTACCCTCCAATGAGCAAGCTCTACAACCAGTGGTAGAAAAATGAGGCACAGATCACCTGGATTTTCACATTAAGAGGTCTGCTGTTCTACAAAGGAATTACTGAGCCTGTCATTTGCTTCTCTTTAACTGTCTGGTTTGGCACTGCGACCAAGGAAGACAGACACAGACTTCAACGGATAGTTAGAACTGCGGAAAAAACAATTGTTACCGCCTGCCTTCCATCGAGGACCCGCATACTGCACGAGTCAGAAAGAGGGCTGTGAAAATATCTGCAGACCCCTCACTTCCTGGAGATGGACTGCTTCAACTCCTCCCCTCAGGTCTGCTATAGGGCACTGAAAGCCAAAATAACCAGACACAAGGACAGTTTCTCCCTCCCCCCCCCAGTATATCACTCTGCTAAAAAAACTAATTCCCCAAAACGTTGTCAAACTACCTAGTAAGGCTGTATTACTATTATTCTGCTCACCTTTCTTATTACCTATCTCCTTATGACTATATCTTTGTTGCTTGTATCTCACGATTTATATTGTTTTATTTAGTATCCTAGTATGATTTATGTTGATTGTTTATTTAATATCCTTTGACTATCACTATTGTATCGTATGATTCATGATGAATGTATTTTTGTGATGGATCATGATTCATGATCATGATTTATCCCTTGTTTCTTGTATGTACACTGAGAGCTTATGCACTGGAGACAAATTCCTTGTTTGTCCAATCACACTTGGCCAATTGAGAATTCTATCCTTCTATCTTCTTTAATTGTGTCATGCCTCAGTTCCTCTCATGGAATTGTAAGTGCTGAACTGTTCCTCTCTCTTAAACATGGCCTAGCTATCTGGAAGCTTTGAGATGCCTGGAGCACAAAAGCCCCCATCATTGCCAGTTGCAAGAGAGAAAGGCGTCCTCGCTGGCTCTCCAAAGAGTGGACAATGTGTTAGCAAAAGTGTTGCAGTTATTGATTGGACAGCCAGCCAATGTCTGGATTCATAGAGTCTCCTGCCTGAGCAGAGGGTTGGACTAGAAAATCTCCAAGGCCCCTCCCAACTCTGTTATTCTGTAGTTCTATTTTGTAGCTCAGGCTAAACCTAGGCAATTGAATTAATTCAATAAACCATGATTCCGTTAACGTTGGTTTGCATGTTGTGTGATACAGTACAGGCTACATTTCATCCATGTAAGACAAGTCTAAAACAAGGTGTCTAAAGCTAGGATGAGGATGGTCTCTCTGCATGACTGAAGCTGTCCTAGGCAGGGAGAGTTTCACCTGCAGAGGCACCACTGCCCTGTGGACTTCTGTGACACCCACCCACCCTCCCACCCAGGATGGATGGCTTAGTCTGAAAAGCAACACAAGCGCCCTCTGGGAAGCCTTCCAAACCGCCAAGGGCTGTCCGAGTTTCCCATTTCTCCTCTCTCCATTGATGCACTTTGGGTTCTGTTGTTTTTAGGTTTCATCAAGGGAGAGGGTACAGATAGTCCTCGCCTTACAAGCACAATGGAGCCCAAAATTTCTGTTGTTAAGTGAGATTCGCCCCGTTTTATGAGCTCTCTTGCCACAGTTTTAAGTGAATCACCGCAGGCATTAAATTAGTAACAGAGTTGTTAGGTGAATCTGGCTTCTCCACGGACTTTGCTTGTCAGAAGGTCCGAGAAGATGATTGCGTCACCCTGGGACACTGCAGCCGTCGTAAATATGAGTCAGTGGCCAAGAGTCCGAATTCTGATTACATGACCATAGGGATGCTACAATAGTCGTAGTGTGAAAAACAGTCATAAGTCACTTTTTTTCAGTGCTATTGTAACTTTGAACAGTCACTAAATGAACTGTTGCAAGTCAAGGACTACCTGTATGGGGAAGGCCCAGATTCTTTGGGGTTATATTTGAGGCTTCACTGCTTGAATGAAGCTTTATGGTGTAGGGTGGGGCCTCGTCTACGCAGGAGTCCCCTCTTATTTTTACCCAGGCAGGCTTCCTCCCTTGATGGGCACGGAAGGAGGGCAGAAAACAACACCAAGCAGAAGAATTAAGCCAGGATGAACGCACACACGTTTTCTTCTACACATCCTGGTGGTCTGATAACAGGGCTGACACAGCTTCTCTCCTGATGGGGTCCAAAACAGCCACCCCACCCATTCAGCAAGAAGGATTCATCCAAAATATTTGCACTTTCTGATCTAGGACCTTCCGCCTCCAAGAAAGACCTCAGCCTCCCCAGCACCTCCGGTTTTACGAAGGAGGCCTGCGGGGGGGGGGGGAAGCAGCTTGCCCAGTGCAGGCTTCCCCCAAACCCTCCCTAAGCTCTGCGGCCCCGAACTCTGGCCGGCGCCTCTGCTTGTTACCCCTGGCTGGGCGGACTGGCACCGGGAGGAGAAATATACTAAGCCCAAGAGAAGCCGGGGACCCCCCTCCGCCCCGCAGGAGGACAAGGCCGCCCTGCAGACCAGCCGCGCCCGCCGGGAGCCCCGGGCAAGAGGCGCCGGGCATCTCGGCCGCAGCCGCTCCGGGCGCTCCCCCTCCCCTCAGGGGCGCCGCGGGGGAGGGGGAATCCGAGGGGGCTCCAGATGCGCCCCCCGCCCCAGGCAGGGTGACTCGCCACGCCCGCGAGAAGGCGCCCCCCCCCGCACGTCAAAGACAAAAGGGAGGCCGAGCGACTCCCTGCCCCTCCTGGGACCGGCGGGGGCATAAAGCTGGGGCGGCGGGGGGGCTTCAGCCCAGGAAAGACCCCGCCCGGCTGCCAAGTACCGGGAAGCTGCAAGAATCCCCCGAGATCGCCCCCAGATCCTCCCGGCTCCGGCGGGGGGGGGCGGCGGCGGCCGGAAGGTGTCCTGCAGCTTTTTCGCGGGGGGGACGGGGGTCGCTTTCCACCCTTTGCTGACCCGTTTGGGGAGAGGCGCCCCGACGGGGCTTCTGCCGGCTGTGGGCAGAGGAAGCGAGGCGCCCGCATCCGCCGCCCCCGCAGAGAACCTACCGCACCCTGGCGAAGATGCCGCCGCCAAACGGGCCGAGGGAGCCGCGGGGGCGCGTGGGCCGCCCTCGCAGGGGCCAGCCGCGGTTGAGCCCAAATCCGTCCCGCCGGCGAGCGAGCCGAGGCGCGCGTCCCCAGGCCGCCCTCAGAGTATCCGCGCTCGGCTCCGCCTCGCCGCCGCGCCGCCGACACGCCTCGCCCGGCGCTCCTCTGCTGCGCCGCAGAAAGAAGCCGCCGCCACCTGCACCGGGCTGGGGCCCGCGAGGCCGGCGACGACAAAAGGGCGCCTCCGCCAGCGCCCCCCAGCGGCAGACGGGCCCAACGGCAGGCGGCGCGCCGACCCCCGCCCGACCCCCGCCCGGCGCTCCGGCCGCAGCAAGGGGAGGGCCCAGCGACGCCCGCTGCCCAGGTGCTCCCCGCGCGGCGGGCCCGGAGGGGCGTTTCGGCCCCGCTTTGACGGCGGAAAGGCTCCCCAGAAACCGGTCCGCCGCGCAGGCAGCCGAGCGCCCCGTCCTCCCCGGCTGCGGGTCCGCGAAAGCCTCGCTGCTCGGCCCGCGGCTCCAGGCGGCGCATCCGGAGCCCGAGCCGCCTCGGGGCTTCGCCGGCCGGGAGCGCCCGCTGCTTCGCCCGGCCAGGCACGGGCCGGTGCTCCGCTCGCCCAGATCGGCTGTCCGCTGGGCGAGCACGGCGGGCGACGCGGTTCTGGGCAGCCGGGGGGGGGGCTCAAGGGCCGCCGGCCGGGTGGGGCCCGCAGGAGCCCGCCGGGACCTGGCTCGGGAGCCCCGCAGGGCGGGGCGGGAGGAGAAGTTCCCCGAGGCCGTTAGACCCAGAGCGGCTGCCTCTCGTCACGGCCAGCGCTGGCCTCCAGCCGGCTCTGCCGCCGCCGTCGCCGCCGCCCTGCCCGACCGGGTGAGGGGCAGTTGCGGCCCCGGGGGGGGGGACGGCCCCCCTCCTCCTCCTCCTCCCCCCCTCCGTTCGGCTGTAAAGGCGTCCCCCGCTTCCTGGCTTTTTCCTCCTGCTGCTGCTGCTGCCTCCCTGCAGGTGCTTTTTCCCGATGGCTGGGATGTTGGTCGCCGCAGGAAGGAAAGAGCCGCTTGTTGGGATGGGTGGGCTGAAGAGGGAGGGCTTTCCTGGTGGGCAAAGGGAAAGGATGATGGCATTTGAGGGGCACCCAGAACCTTAAAGAAGCTTCAGACCCTGAAGGAAAGATATTTAAGAAGGGCAAATATTGATAAGGGGTTTAATTGTTTGGGAAGTCGTTTTACAATTAGATCAGTCTAGTGGTTGGGGCACCATGCCAGAAATCAGGAGGCTGGGAGTTCTAGTCCTGCCTTAGGCAAAAAGCCGGCTGGGTGAACGGAGGTCAGGGTGAGGCCAGCCCAGAGCCATGGGGCTGGCAGTGGGGCACTCCAGTGAGGAATTATTCCCAGTGGAGGAGAAGAAAGAGGAGGAAAAGCACAGATAAAATAAACTTTAAAAAGGAAAGAAAAACAGGTGGAGAAGGAATGCCGTTGGAAAGGTAGTGCAAAGTACAGCGCAACCCCTGAGAATGGTGTCTGTGTGCAACAAGGGAACCAAAATGGAGTAAGTAAAGGAATGAGGACAATTTACTACTTTTCTATACTTTTACATTAACTGTATGTATATATATATGTGTGTGTGTGTGTGTGTGTAATAATTTTTTTCTTTTTCTCTATGCCTTTTCCCTCTTCTCTCTGAGAAATACAAACTGTTTTACCTTAACAATAGCTACAGGAGGAGCTGAGGCTGACTTTTACGTATTATTACAGTATTAACCTCAAGAGGCTTAAGTCCTCCATAAATCTAATGTTCTCTTACATATAGCGCAACTCCAGGCCTCCAGAGCCCGGACTGAGCTGCGGGGGGCTGCAAAATCACTCCGTGGCCATAGATCTGGGCTCCGGAGGCTTGGAAAAGGCCTCTGGAGCCTGGATCGGGCCAAGGAGGGGCCACAAAATCACTGCAGCCATGGATCCGGGCTCCAGAAGCTTCGAGAAGGCCTCTGACAGTTCAGGTCATGTTGTCCAATTAATCCTCAGGCAGTTATGAAAAGAACATCTCTGTTCGCCACAACATCCCTCCTGGGTTCCAATCCGATAGAATTCACCTGTGCATTCCAAACCTTCCCCTCCACCATTGCTGATTGTAAGCAAGCTAGGAGCAGCATGACAACCCCAACACCAGCAATCTTCTTAGCTTGACAACTGTTTCGAAATGCTGCTCTAAGTGAAATCAGCTTCAGGGTCTTCTTTATTTTTCCTTGGATGGCCAGTAGGTGGAAGTGGTGGCATTTGCATTTAACATTTTCCTTCTGATCTGCAGGGCTCAGTACGAAGAATAACAACAGAGTTGGAAGAGATGGTGGAGGTCTTCTCGTCCAAGATCTTCTTGGAACCCAGAGTTTGTCTTCTGGGGTGTTGGCTATTCCTGCCAGTTTAGTGTCATCTGCAAATTTTTAGGCTCTCCAGTGTTCAGGTGGAGGCTAGACGGGCATCTATTTGGGATTCTTGCATTAAATGGCTCCTTCCGAACTCTACAGTTCTGTTATTTGGAAGGCAATAAAATAATTAGAAGTAGCATTTGAAGCAAGAGTAAAGGCATTGTATTCTTCAGCCATCTATCATCAATGTTAGCTCTAGTGGTTAAGGCACCCGGTTAGAAACCTAGGGGATTGTGAGTTCTAGTCGTGTACTTAGTCCTGCCTTGTTCACTCAGGCTTCCATCCCTCTGTGGTCAGTAAAATGAGGACCCAGATTGTGGGGGTAAATGCTAACTCTGTAAATGCTCAGAGAGTGTGTAAAGCACTTTGAAGTCTTAAGTGCTATTGCTGTTGCCTTAGGCATGAAAGCCAACTGGGTAACTTTGAGCCAGTCACACTTCCTCAACCCAACCTGCCTCACAGGTTGGGGGAAATAGGAGGAGGAAGGAGTATTAGGGGTGTTCGCCATCTTTCCCCATTGCTCATGACAGGCTCCCCTCTCCCCGGCAGAAAATGGGTTTACTGAGTTAAGCTTTGCTGCCCTAATCAATGATTTGCTGCCAACGGTGGGATCCTAATTAGGTGCAGCTAGATGGTTGGGTAAATCTTGGACTTTGTTGTCTCCCCAAAATTTAACCAGCCAGTAAACACAGGAGAGAAGCAGAAGTAGGGAATTTTTAAAGACTATGAACATCTTGATATGAGGGAATGAACTCATAGGTATTTCTGTAAATTGAAAGCTTTTCCAGCCTCAATGAATTTTTTTCCAGTGATTTTTACACATACAAAACAAGAATACTTAGTGTGGCTCTTTTATTAACTTTTAAACCTAAGATGTGCTGATGAAGGAAGAAACATAAAAGAAATAGAAGAGGGTACTTAAAAGTGCTCAGTGTGATGAAAAGATCTTCTCTTCATTCATAAATGGGTCTCTGAAAGACAATGTATAAACATGGGTTAATCTTTTGGATATAGCTAGCTATGACAAAAAAATTCTGACTGCTCTACTGAGTAAAAAAATAAAATAAAATAAAATATACCACGGGTATAAACAGAAAAAATATGACATAAAGTAAATTGTTTTATTCTATCCAGAAAGGTGGGACCATATAAGTAGCAGCACAGATAAAAAAAAAAAACCCACAAAGTTGTCAAAGCTATTTGTTTAAATTTGTTCTTTAAAAGCCTTGAATAGATTAAAAATTGCCAAAAGAATCTACAAGGCAAAGAGGAATTTTCTCTACAGCCATTCTTGGCATCATTAAAAGGGAAGGGAAATACCACAGTTGAGTAACAATGCCCTTATTTTAATCTCCTGAGACCACAGTGGTCACTGCATCCTAAGAAGAACTGAAGAGCTCAGAATGGTGCAAAAAGGAACAGCCAAGTGTGTGTGTAAGCAGCTGCCTGCATTGGGGCTGAAGTTCAGATGGCAGACACAGACAGGCACTCAGGATCATGCCTGTCGGAGACCACAAAGGCTGAAAGTAGCTCTCCTCCCTTTCTCACAATCTGAGATCTTGGGGTCAACTAAAATTAAGCGCAGGGGGGTTCAGAGGGAAATGGTTTTTCTCACACAGCGTGTAGTGAAACCATGAAATCAGTTCCCAGGAGTTGTGAGAATGGCGGGCCCAAGGACAACCCTGTAGGCAGGGAGGCTCTCAATGACTGTGGAGGGAAAGGATGTGGATTTATTCTTTGTGGTGCCAGATGGTGGGACATCTCCAAACGTGAAATAAAGGAGAAATTTCCGGACCACGGGAGCTATGAGTCCCTCACTGAACGGTCCTGGTAGGCACCTTTTGTCTGGGATGGGCTGAAGATTCGTCCCCTGGTCAGAGGCTCCCTCCTTCTTGATTTTGAAGATCTGCAAGGTGCCCCCCAAATCTGGGATTCTATAGGTTAGAGCTTTGTGCTGGCAATTGCAATGATGGTAATAAAGACTGGTTTGAGTTGCCCTTTGACCCCAGGCTTGTGCTTCATTGCCTGGGCTCACCTAGTTAACAGGCTCCAATCAGTTAACAGGAAACACATTTTCCTCTTGTACACCCATCTATAGGTAAAACACCTGTTCAGCCTTACCAACTACTCGCTTTTCTGAAGCTCTACAATCCCCATGTAAGCAGGCAGAATGGCCTCCCCCCAGGTGTCCACAGGGGCTTGCATCATCTGATTGGTCCACACCAGCTCCAGGCCATTCTCGGTCTTGATGTAACAGCCAGGCCGCTCTGCTGGGAGGGGCGCTGGGAGGCACTTCTCTGAGGGCTCTGCCACCGTCACTGGCCCAGGAGGTGGACCCTTCGGGACATCTTCCCCCTAAGAAAAGAGGAAAGGAGAATGTTTCACTGGAAAGGCCAAGTTGGGTCAAGAGGAAAGAGGGCAGCAGATGCTCCCTGGGAAGCCTCCCAGCAGTGAGGAAAGCTCTGTGGCTTTGAGGGCCAGGAGGAAGAGCCGCCAAGACAATGGGCAGAGAAGGGGGGCTTGAGCCCAGGCAGAGAAAAGAGTGTGAGTGAGTGTCACATGAAGCGAAAGAGGGGTAAGTGCATTCAGACTTGCAAGATTCTGTGACTGCAGCCTTGGAATAAAGTTATAAGGCCCTACAAGGCATTAGTTCCTTACTCCGGTCTACCTTGAATGGTTGACAAATTTTGAAGCTACAAAACTATTGTGCCATTTCAGGCTTGATGTGGAAATGCCATTCGAACATTCCACACAAGGAAAAAAATGCCAGTAAGAAAAAGGGTGCCATTTACTTTGGGAAATGAGATGGTTCCCCCCCCTGACATCTAAAGCTGTGCAGCCCCAAATGCCACTTCCCCATCTCGGGTGGGCTGTTGCCGATCAGCCCAAACATGGTGGAGGGATAAAGCAGACTTCCAGGTGCAGCTCATTGCATGCCAGAACAACTGGACCCAGGACAAGTTCTTCCCTCTGGCCATCGCTCAGCCGAACACCCAATTCTCACAGCTGACAAAATACAGTGTGACTCCTAAGTTTTTTTCCTAATGTGTATGTATGTTAACTCTTGGGGTGTGGCTGCAATATTGTCTTTTATTATTTTTTACTTCCTCCTTTTGTTGGCTGTACACTTTAGTATTATTATTGTATTCTGTTGTTTTGCAAATACACTGAGTGCTTCTACACTAGAGACAAATTCCTTGTGTGTCTAACCACACGTGGCCAAATAAAGTATAATATGTTAGAAACTGACATAATCCAGAATCAAATTTTGGAATGCCACAGGAGTTGTGTCCAGTTTTGTGGTGGAAAGCCACATATTCTTGGGTCCTCAGGGGAGGAAGTTGTTGGAGGACAGGAGACCGGCTGTGTACACTTTCACTCCGATTTTGCTGCTTGATACCATTTTGTTATCATTCTTATTCCAAGCTTTTAATCAGCGTAAAGTGCCCTACCGGCTATGTTTTAAAAAATTAAAAGTGCGTATGTGAAAAAGAGGCCTGTTGCTTGGAATTTGGCAAGAGAGAGTCCTTTCATACCACGCAGTGCAGGATCAGACCTTCAGTTCACAGAACGGTATTATTGTCTTAGCTGGAGAGCAGTTTCATGCCTACCTCAAGCCCTCCGGTTTCTTTCAGAATCAGGCGCAACAGGCGAATATATTCAGCTGTGGCTTTAAGCATATCCACCTTACTTGGCTTCCGGTCTTTTGGAATCAACGGGACAATAGATTTCAGCTTGGAAAAGCCACTGTTCAGATTCTTGATCTGTTTAGACAAAAAAGGGGAGGGGAGAGGAGGGGAGGGATCAAAGTCAGCTAGAGGTCTTGATACTTGCCTGTGTGAAGAGAGAGAAAAGTTGCACACGGCAATTTTATTAGAAGAGGTAAATAAAATAATGAGCTTTAATAGTGCTCAATAGTGAAATTAAAAAGTTTTGCAAATATGCCAGACATAGTTTTACAAGGTTCTTAAGGATTGTAATGCTGGCTGTCACTATCAAAGCTTTTGTAACGAAGCATCAGATCAGGCTAATGACATGAGAGCTCTTTCGCATTGTCTCCCCAAAACTGCTACTTTTGTTGGAGTCTTCAACTGAACAGGTTTCACATATCACGGTAAGCCAAAAATGCAGCTGGCTTAGCGTTTCATGATCTCCACTAGATGGTGGGCATCTAATTGGTTGTGTAAATCTATCCAATTACCTCTTATTAGATAAACCACAAATATACCATGGCTAATGATCCAGATTGGAACTACCGGAGGAGGGCATGAAACCTGGCAGTCTTTCATGCCTTTTGTCTCTGGCAAGATGTGACTGCCAGCCTCCTAATTCAAACCTGACACAACCTCTGCAGATGGAGATTAACCATTGACGCATTTACAATATTTATGCAAAGTCAACTTTTGAAGTTGATAAGAACACGTTCCAAAAATGCCAAGAACCGTTTTACTGCCCCTTTCTCAGGAGAGAAAGCTAAGAAAGCTGTTCCAGAAAAGTCAGGGTTGACCTAAGCCCCCCAAGGGGTCTGGGTCTGTTTCCCCCCCACTAGCTTCTAGTGTCCCTCTACCACCTTCCCCACAACAAAAAGCCCTCCCTCATGACTGCTGCAGCCTTTAATTAAAATGATTCTTTCATAAAATATTTATTGAATCATGTAAAAATAACATTAAACCCATTATGCATTAACATAAATATTTCTCATAAAAACTTATTTTTAACAAATAAAAATGACAAAAGATTTATTTTTTGGAAATATTTTCACTATCTGGCAAATAATTTTGATTTGGAGGGCCACTGAGAGGGTCGTAGGGGTCTCCGGAGACCCTGGGGCCAACTTTAAGAAAGACAGACACTTTCCTGAGGCCTGATCCAGGGCTGCTTCCTGGGAGGAAGGTGGGCCAGGTGAGCCAGTGGGGAAGGGCCCCATGCCTGCTTACCCTCTCTCGCTCTTTGGCATTAGCTGCCCGTCTCCGACCCAGGACCTGCTCCCGGTTCTCGGTGGGGTAATAGTAGCCCGCTGGCTTCCTCTTCATCCGTGTGATGGGAGCCATGAAAGGCAGGGAGCCAAACTGCTTGCTTAGGATCTCACCCAGGACTTCAGCTGGAGGGGCCAGGAAGAGCCGAGGAAGCTGCTGAGATTCCCCACCAGAGGTTTCCTTGGCCATGCTTGCCCTATATTGCAAAACAGAGCCACTCATCATCGGAGCAAGGGCCCCCAGCTGCAGCAGTTTCTGTCTGTCTGTCATGCAACTTCTTAAGGGGAAAGAGATGGAAGGGGAGGGGGGAAGGAGGGACACAGGTGGCCTGCAAGCTCCAGAGCAGGGGCCATTCCCTTCCTGCAAAATTGCAGTTTCAGAGAGTCTGGACTTTAAGGCCAGTTCTTCCTCTCTGGTGCTTACAGTTTCACCTTGGAGCCATGCTCAGATGCTGGGAGGTGAGCTCTGGGAGGTGGGAGACTCCAGCCCCTCCCTGTATTAATCACAATTAGCTTGGCTGAGCTGAAGCCGACAGGCCCCCTTGCTCGAGGTCAGCAGCTTGGCTAATGGCTCCTCAGGTTTTCAGCCTCTAACCAATTAGAGTAGAAAAGTCAGTGTGCAACTTTGAAATTGGTAGAGCGCTTTTTCATTTTCCTATTCCCAGGCAGCCTAAGTTGGGTTTGGCTAAATCCCAGATCTCCTGTGCCTCCCTAAGTTTCAGCTTGGTTTGAAGCTGCTTTGATCACCCTGAGTGCAACCCCAGGGAATCTGAGCCACCTGGGAGAACCACTTAGGGAAAAGGATCTGCTCTGGAACTTACTGTGCTAGATTTCAGGGCTGCTGCTGCTATTATGGGATGGCTGATTCCAATTGGTCCTGCTGGGGCAGCTCTTCCCACACTTGCTTGAAAGCAGCAGTTTCTACAAGATGCTGACCTTGTGCCCTCCTTCTTTACAACCCAGTGGAACGATGGAAAGAAGTGTGGTGGGGGGAGGATGCTGGGGCTGCTTTTCCTATTGAAGTGAAGCATGGAGCGGGTCATGTGTTTGCCAATGCCGTCATCTTCACTGTCTAATCAACAGCATGGATTTCATGGCCACCCATCCAAGATGGAAGTCAGGGCTGAGCCTGCTTTGCTTCTCAAGATAACCCAAGGTAAAGTAGCTGCTGACATCTACTCAGACGGTGGCTGTACTCCAAAACCAAGAAGGAGTTCAGATTGAGGGACTATTAATGGAGAATTTAGCTGCCTGGGCACTTGGTGCTTGCGAGTTGCAAAGGAGTCACATTCCATCTTAAGGAACAGGTTTAACCCTTTTTCCTGGTCAAAGACAACCTGACCTGACCTCAGTTATCAACACTCTATAGCTCCTGGTTTAAACTACTGTAATAAGAAGTGCTTGGGGCTGCCCTTGCAGATGGTTCAGCATGATGCAAAGGCACTGGCAAGATTGCAGCCCAGGAGTTGTAGTCCTATAACTGCAGCAGTTGCCTCGGATTCATTTCCCGTTCAAAGGTTGTTGGCCTTTGAACAACCCTCCCTTCCATATTGACTAGTTGTTCTTGTTGACAGGAAAACATTTCAGCAGGACTACTCCCTGACACTCTTTTGGGGACCAAAACTGCTTTGAAAAATCTCCCTCAGTCTTAACAGAAACTTGTCCCAGATTCATTATCATTCTAGTGGTTTTGCCATCCATTTCGAGTTGCTCCAGGGTTTTGATCAGTATTTCATGATGGTATAGGTGGCTTTTATGTAACTGACCAACCATAAAATTATGTCCTTTGGTTTTTCTAAACATCTCCCAATTGTTTTTAGATTGAAAAGCCCTCTCTAAGTGCCACTATCTTTCATAAATCTGGTCTGAGCTTTACTAATGGTGTTATTGAACCTTCCTGGGTTCATTAAGAAAAAGACTTTTATTAAACCATTTACTACATTACTGATAAGATTAATGATTCTGTGTTAAGGGCATTCTGTAGTTCCTGCTTTTCTAGGAAGTGGAATAAAAGCTGTGTGCTTAAAGTCTTTGAGCAAGTGGCGTCTTGCAGAGATTGGTTAGAGGTTTTGCTGATTTCGCCTTGGAGATTTTAACATTTCTGAGATTCTTGCATCTGTT